GTCGGGCCGAATTCCTCGACTTCTAAACGCCATCGCATCATTTGCCAGTTGTTGAAGGTGCTGTACGTCAAATTCAGGTGGTCGGTGTGAATGCGCACGTCTTGACCCAGCAACATGCTACGGTACTCTCGCAGCACGAGCACAAGGCTCAACAGCTCCAACTTGTTTGCCGGGTACTTCCTCTGGCTGTCGTTGCACTTCTTGGACCAGAATGCAATGGGGCGACCTCGCTGCGAGATAAACAGCACCAAGCTGATATCCGGAGGCATTGGTGTGGATGTCGAAGCGCGTGCTGTAGTCCGGGAACGCAAGCTCTGTAGCCTGCGCCAGAGCCGACTTCCTCAAAGGCCTTCGCCTCAGTATAACCCCAGACAAATGGTCGCTGAGGCGACGTCAGCGCCGTGAGCGGTGCAAGCAAATGCGCTCGTCTTGGCCAGACATCCCCGATAGTAGTTAATCATTCCGACAAACCGTCGAAGTTTACGGCGGTTGCGTGGCGTGTCAATTCGCAAGATGGCATCAACCTTGGATGTGAGCGGTGAGATTCCATCACGACTGATAATGTAGCCTAGATACTCAACAGACGTAGCTCCAATCTTCGACTTCACAGGGTGACTCGTCAGTCCGTAGTCACGCAAACGCTCCAACACAATGCGAACGTGGCAGATGTGCTCCTCAAAACTCGTTGATAGGATTAAAATATCATCCAAATACACCCAGCAGAAGTCCAGATCTCCAAGGCAACAGTTCATAACCGATTGAAATTCATCAGGTGCTGTAGCAACGCCCATCGGTAGCCTCGCAAACACAAACTTTCCAAACGGAAACACGATAGCTGTTGGCTGTCTGCTGCACTCAGCAAGTTCTCGCGCATAGTAACCCATCGGCACATCCAACGCCGTCACGTAGGCCGCTTTGCGCAACTGCCTCAGAATGTCAGAGATCTTTGGTAGTGGGTAAAACTGTCGGGTAAGTAGGCGATTCAGTCTGCGGAAGTCACACACCAGCCGTATCGATCCATCTTTCTTCGGTACCGTAAATGCCGGGGACGCCCACGGCGATTCTGAGTCTGGGATCAGTACACCAAGCTCGATTAAACGCGCAATTTCTTTCTTCAGTGCAGGAAGG